ACTAATACACCTCAGACTGAATGCCAGAAAATCTCTTTTAATTCTATAAATTTCCCTTCTCTCCACCCCATAAGCAGTTGTTTACCTTGGAAGACTCTAAGTGCAAAGGCAATCAGATGAACTCCTCCCCCCATAAGAGTTGTAAAACAGTCCGAGTAGCATTCAGGCTACAAAGGCACTGTAATTAAAATAGTGTTCTTGGCATTAAGAGACATATAGGCCAATGGAATAGAATAGAGCCCAGAAATAAATCCTCCATATATGTATGGTCAGCTGATTTTCAGCAAGGGTGTCAAGACCATTCAATGGGGGAAAGGAGAGTCTTTTCAATAAATGGTGCTGGAAAAACTGGATATCCACAAGCAAAAGAATGAATTTGGACCTTATACCACATACAAAAATTAACTGAAAATGGATCAAAGACCTAAAATTATAAAACTCTTAGAAGAAAAACATTGTCTCTACTAAAAATAGAAAGAAATTAGCCAAACAACTAAAAAGTAGAGCAGCTCTGAAAAAAAACGGAGTTGCCTGATGCACAGGCTCCCAGCTGGGGTAAGAGAGTACACTCTGCCTTTTTCCTTCAGCTCCCATGCCTGAGTATTCTTCTCGTGGATAATCACTGCCACATTTTTCACATTTTTGTGTTTGTCGTGATTTCACATTCTAAAATGGCCCCCGTGTGTGGTGCTGAAGTGCCGCTAGGTGACTGTGATGTGCCTCACAGAGGAAATACATGTGTTCAAAAAGCTTCGTTCAGGCCTGAGTAACAGTGCTACTGGCTGTGAGTTTGATGTTAATGAATTAACAATATACACTAAATACGTTGTCTTTAAACAGACACACATACAAAAAAAGGTTATATACTGATTATCTGACAAAAATGCTGTGATCAACCTAACCCTATATTTCCCCTAGGAGCAATTCAGAATTCAGTATTAGCTAATTCAGAGTTCATGGCAACTTTATAAAACGTGTGTACTGCAAATAATGAGATCTGACTATATAATTCAGGGGGAAAATGAAAATTCTAAAGAATTTTAATAAGGAACCTCAGGGAAATTTTATACCCATGTGACAAAAACTGACTGGTATTTAAAAAAAATAATCAGAGAAAAACAAAGTCTTAGCAATTAAAAATGATTGCCATTTCACCCAAAAATTCAATGATGGGATAAAATGTATACCTGAGAACAAGCTCGAGATCTGGGAGATAGCGTAGTAAATCTCCAATTTTAAAAAAATGGAGAATACATCCAGGAATAATAAAATATGAGTTCCAGAAAGAACACAGACAATAGAAGAAAAAGAAATTATCAAAGAGTCATAAAATATTCCCAGTTTGAGACAAGAAAATTCATTTTGAAAGGGACCACTAAGTGTTAAGCAGGATTAATCAAAAAAGATCAAAACCTAATAGTACATATCCAGATTTGTTTCAAAATAACCCAGGTTTAGAGTTTTTTTTTTTTTTAGAGAAGGGGAATGAGGAAAAATGTACGTAGATAAAACATGAGAAGCTCTGGGTTACTGTAGCTGGGAGATGGATATGTGAGGGTCTGTCCGTGGTACTTCTGT